GTATGGCCCCTGTCTATACATAGTGGTTGAAAAGTATTGTTTAAATGCTTATATAATAATAATAAGAGTAATAATTAGTCATGGTAAATATGATACTAAAATCTAGTGGTAATAATATTAGGTTCCATCGAAGAAATTTATTTTAAAGTAAACGAAGCAGTGTCCGAGTACCGAGTCACCACCTTATCAAGTGAGTGCATGGTCGCTTTCATCTTACACATAGATATGAAGTATTTTATATAAACTATGTGCTATGTGTGAATATTATTTGTATAATTGCTATCGATGTTGGATGAACAATTTTATACAAGTTTTATATGATTTTAATTGTATATGTATTTATATCTAGTTATATGTTGGGTAAAACATGGGTAGATGAAATATGAGTTGGATGATAAGTTGAGAGGTGATATAGACCATGAGGTAAGGGTGAGAGGTAGACAATGTGAGAAACCTTGTTCCCAAATGCTGGCCCCATCATCTAGCGGAGGATGGATTACAACCACAGACTATTCTAGACAGTCCAGTGGAACACTAGCAGGCTCGCAGCCTGTAGGTATTGTGAACGATGTGGTCACCAGGTGTACTCTAAACCTTGGCGATCATGCAGACTTGATGCCTAAACCCTAGTGACTATGCAGACTTAGTGTCTAAACCTTGGCGATCATGCAAACCTGATGCCTAAACCCTGGTGACCATGTAGACTTGGTGTCTAATCCCTGGAGACTATGCAGACTTAGTACCTATTATGTAAACCGTGGCAACGATGGACTTCGTGTCGATTCCTTAGGATGATCCTTAGGAATAAATGAACGAGGAATAGCTTATTTTTAGGATAGATCCTTAAGAGTAAAGAAGATAATGGGGATGGATAATTTGGTTTATTGTTTGATTTTTAAACATAATAATTATATTATTGTGGGTTGAAAACCCTATGTACTCAACAAGTTTCCCAACCTGACCCACTAAGTTTATTTATATCATAGGTGTTGATATGAAGTCACATTACACTGAGAGATTAAGGAGATATAAATCACTAGTGATAATGAATGTAAGTTCTGTTTCTGTTTATGTTTCTGTATTGACGATGACATCGCAAATGTTTTAAAATGAATAAAAATACTTTTATTCGGAAATGATTTGATAACGTATTTATCATGTTTTACTAGGAACAAATTCCGCAACATTTTTATTAAAAGAGGTACTCTGATTTTTATAAAGCATAAACAAAATCGGTCTTTTCTGGCCGTGAAAATAGAAATGTCACACATAGGGACCATTCGTGTAATTTACTCTTATATATATATATATATATATATATATATATATATATATATATATATATACACACACACACACACACACACACATACATATACATATGAGTTGAATTCAAATGTTTCTAGCAACTATTGCATTCTTATGAGAATTCAAGAAATAATAAATAATTAAATAAATCATTTAACGGTATTTTGAACCTTTTGTACTTTTTAATTAGTGGATCATTTAATTGAAATCCTGCAATTAAGGAATTAAAATCAATATATTTGACCTAGTCTCTCTTATATCCTACCTTATATCTTCGAGTCTTCACTTTCCCTGAACTCAAATCGGCCATGGTGGTTTCGGGTGTGTCTACATTGGCGCCATTAAATCCGATCAAGACTCGTCTACAAGTTGAAATACTGAAACCCAAATCGGTAACACTAGGTCTTCTATCGTCGATTGATTTCCAACATATTTTGATTTCTCAACGATCCTATTTCTTGCGATATAGTTGATTTGGTAAGTTTCTTTCGACATCTATGATCGATAAAATCAAATTGATTTTATGAAGTTGTCCAGAGTTTATCTCGATTTTGATTCAAGATCGAGATTGTGTTCATCATCTTATTAATTCGGTTTCTTCAATGTTCTATTTCTGTTTTTTTATTGTAGAAATATTCTGATACAACTTGCACTTCACGGTCATAAGTCGGAGTTTGTTTCGAAAAAGTCAAAATTGGTGTTTATATTTGTCGATTTTGAAGAATAGATGGGTATAAGATGTCGATTTGTTGTCAAAGTTTGATGTGAATTGAAAATCGATTGAAGAAGGTATCTATAATCGCAGACAAATGAAAAGTTAATGTAGAGAGTCAATGAAGTTTGATGTGAAGAAGGCAATGTATTTTTCATATCCTATTCTTCTATGATACATTTTCCTTTTATTGTGATTCTCTGTGAAGTTAGAATATACACCATTCTTTTTATTCTAACCCCATATCCCTTTTTATCATAATGTGGTTGCTTGTGTCGTGTTTATTTTTTAGATGCTAAGTGTTTTATTAGTAGGAGATTCAGTGATGACATGGTTCAGACTGACAAGAGTTTGTATCTTTTGAAGATCAATCACATAAAAATGATTATGGTAGAATCACATAAGAATGATTTTGCCGGGATTCTATTGCAACTGGTTTTCAAGCAATGCAATTATGATAGAATGACAATTCTGATAGAATGTTAATTATTTATATGTTTAATGTGAAGTTGTGACATTGTATGATTATGATAGAAATAGCTTGAAGACCTGATGGGAAAGTCTTGAAGAATGAATCAAAGAATGATCACACTCACTGTTTAAGAATGTTGTTATTTTTTAAGAATTACATTTGTTATTCTCTCGGAATGTTGTTATTATTCAATGAATCACAATCATATAATGTAATTATTTGATATATTATTAGTTCAAGAATTGATTTTGTGTATTCTTTCATAATGTATTTACTAGTTTATGGTTGACATTCTGTCATTCTGACAAAATAAAATCGAAAATATGTTTATTAGTTTATGGTTGGCATTCTGTCATTCTGACAGAATAAAAAAGAAAAATATATTTATTAGTTTAAGGTTGGCATTCTGTCATTCTGATAGAATAAAATCGGATTTTTAAATTTGAATTAATTTAAAATATTCAGATTTTAAAAAATAAAGGAATTAATTATCCCTAAAAAACTGGAAATTTCCTTTTTTAATACAAGTTAATTAACTAAAATGCCCTTATACTGAAATTTGTGTAATTATATGGTATATGTGATCCTATTATAATATAATAGAGTCTCAGATCATGACATTTGATTCTAGTCCATCCGACCTTTGATTCTATTCCATCCGATGGTCTAGATCTGTGAGCATTCTGACATATAATAATTAGTAAAAACAAAATAATGTAAACCATATATATATATATATATATATATATATATATATATATATATATATATATATATATGATACAGATCCGATAAGAAAAAGTTTTTAGCAGGAAGGTAAGAAGTTTTTTTTTGACATATTTTTGTGACGAACAAAATAAATGAATCACTAAAATGAATAAAAAATAATATGATTAAAAAAACTCCCTAACAAACATTTCCCTAACAAACATTTCCATAATTCATTTTACTAAGATTTTTTGATCTCGGTTCGTTAATGTTTTTCTTTTGTTTTAAAATTTTGAATAGATATAAAATACAAGTACTAAAAGGTCATTTTGTCAAATATAAAGGAGCTATTTGTAAAACAGCTTGTAATGTTGCCACTTACATTACTTGGGGAGCAAGTGTTACGTAGGGCCTAGATTTTCTGTCAAAATCAAAATATTGTTAGCTTCGGCTACAGGTTCGGTGGAGCTTAAGAGCTGTAAAAGAGAATATTTAATGTGGAACCCACTTTTTCCCTCATTAATTTTACATTTTACTTCAACTTGATCACCATTCTCTTCAAGTCCAAAAATTTACAACTATTGTTAACAAAAGTTAAACATCCTCGTTAATTATTATTTTTGATTTTGATATTTACCTTTCTTTAATGATTAGGAAAATCGATAGAGACGAAAAATAAAAAGATATTTGATTTCTTTACAATTAATTTTGGATGTTATGTTTTTATAGAAGTTTGTTTTTGACATTATATGTTTGTCTTTATTTCATATTTGATATTTTATTTATCAATTTCTTATGGATATAACCATATAAGTGGTCAATTAGGTTGTTGATGACGTATCATTTTTATGATGTTACATGCTGATATGACATGGTGATGTAGTTTTAATTTTTCATCAAATAAAATTGTAGGAAGTTTAAATTAATTTTTTTGTTTATATGAACCGACATGATTCAGACAAGCAACTAGTATTTTATTTTATTTTTTACATTTTCAACATTTTTATTTAAATAGTGAACAACATGGTTTTACATTATAAACTCAACACTACACACTATCATACCTTCTCATCATGTCATGTCTTCAATAACGTTATCTCAGTATGACACATCAGCTAACAAATATTAGTTAAATTGTTAGGATTGTAACAAATCGATAAAAGAAGAATCCAATTTAAACTTAAAAAAAACATTATCAATATCAAATAATTGATTTTTGTGAATATGCCCATTTATATATAAGGTAAAACTCTTTCCTATTAAGTTCTATTTTATAGTGTGTTTTTAAAGTCAATGTTCGAGAGATTAAATTATGAATTTATATAATAAGATAGAAAAACCTCATTACTTATTACATATTTTGATTTTTTTTTAAAATCTAACCATCATATGATGGCATATTAAGTTCTATTTTATAGTGTGTTTTAAAGAGTATCTTAATTCGTTGATTGCATTGAAAGAATTTAAATACACAAAGTCTTGACCACTAACCAATAAAAAAAATTATAAAATACAAAAAAGGAAATCTAATAATATAATAATTCTTGCTCAAAAGTAAGTTTTTGGTTAGGTTGAATAAGCTATTACCGAACCTAAAGCTGTGTATATATACCTGTTGCTATGGAACGCGTCTTCATTGTTCCCGCTTATGAATAATATTTCTTTATTTAATCTCAATCACCCATATCTCTCTCTCTCTCTCTCTCTCTCTCTCTCTCTCTCTCTGGTTAACTTAAGAAGGAAGAACAACAAGGAGAAGCTACCGGATGTTGAACGATTGTGCTTCGACAACTTCTAGATATGGCGAAGTTAGTGATTAATATACGGCTTGCTACTTAATTTATTCTTTACATCATCGTCTCAATCGTATTTTTGTGGTGGATTTGATCATGCATTACGATCTACGGATCTATGACATCGACTCTGTTATCCGATACATTTTCTTGTCTCTCTAGAACTCGAAATATGTTCAATACTTAAAATGGAATGAGTATCTTATATCGCAAGATTGTGAATCACTTCTTTTCTTCAATCATCCCCCAAAAATTAAACAAGTAGTTTAAAACAAATTACTTTTTTTTTTTTGCATAAAAGAAAACCTGCTTAACCAAAGTTCCAGCTAATGTTGTGTATACGAGTATGTGTCTGTGTGAATTTATGATTCTCCATTTCATTAACACTAGCTTTAATTATAATGTTATTGTATCCATATGGGTAGTAAATGTAAATATTTGTGATGCATGATGTATTGTACTCCATTTATGTCATTTCAGCTTGTTGAGTACTCTAATGTAGATTGTGTAAAATTGAAATCACTTTTTGGATGCTTAAAACATATTGTATGACTTATGTTTCTTCGATTATCATCTAGGTAACGACTTTTTGAGGTAGATTCTACATATGATTCTATATTTGTCTGAATATGTCATATAATGAAAGTCCATTTCTAATCCTTTTTTGTACTTAGTAGTCAATACAATAGAGTAAATTTATCTTCATTTTCTTTTTTTGTATGAAACATTTAGAATATTTGCATAATCAAAAGTCTTATATAGTCCATCTTTCCACTTTATGAAAAGACAGAACATTTCTACTTATGGTAAATATGAACCATCATCCACAAACAAATACGTATCCTTAGGAAGCAATTTAGTTTTTCAGAAAACATATTGATTTGGAGTTCGTTTAATTACCTAATATACGTAAAAGAATGTGAAGTAAAGTTTGTAAAACTATTGCTAATTTGCTATACTATCATTATCCATGTTACATTTTTTTTCTTTTTCTTTTTTTGATTAACTAGATGACATTTCCATATTGCAGGAGTTGGTTTCTTGATGGTAGAACTATTGCAAGGAATATAAAAACAATCGGACTTCCTTCTATACATCAAATCAAAGATTGTGACGCAAATTGTGAATGTCCACAATGCGGTTATAAAATTAATGATTATAACAATGTAAGATATATCAATTCTTGATAGTGATTAATTTTAATGTCGAAGTAAATAGTAAAATCTGATGAGATGTTTCTCTTTGAAGGTGTCAAATGAGTGGCCTGGGCTACCCATTGGAGTGAAATTCGATCCATCTGATGTTGAGCTATTGGAACATTTAGCAGCCAAATGTGGAGTGGGAAATGAAAAGCCACACCCTTATATCGATGAGTTCATCCTCACACTTGATGGAGAGGAAGGAATATGCTATGAACATCCTGAAAATCTTCCGGGTATGATATTAAACTTTTGGCTATGGAATTTATACACTTGTGACAATCATTATAATCTTTTCAAATTTAAGAAATCAGTTAAGTATTTTCTAGAGAAAATCAAGCATGCAACAGTTATGTGTCTTTCGATCGTCATGAAAATTATGTCATGTAATTTTGTAGGCGCGAGAAAAGATGGAAACGTAGTGCATTTCTTTTATCGAAATTCAAATGCATATGCTAAGGGTCAAAGAAAGCGTAGGAAGATACACAGTGGATCTAGTTTGATACGTTGGCATAAGACTGGTAAAACCAAGGCTATCTTCAAAAGTGGAGTTCAGCTGGGATATAAGAAGATAATGGTGCTTTATGGGGGAAGTGATGGGAGTTCGAAACCTAGTAAAAGAAATTGGGTCATGCATCAATATCATTTAGGAATCGATGAAGATGAAAAGGATGGAGAATATGTGGTTTCTAAGGTATTTTATCAGGTAGAGAAGGATACTAAGAATATTAGTATTGAACAAACATATCCATCCATGAGGATAACCGGTCCTAGAACACCAATGATCGATGCTCCCGATCCACCACGACTAGGAAAATCACCATCCAAGGTTTGTTTAAAGCTCTCTCTCTCTCTCTCTCTCTCTCTCTCTCTCTCTCTCTCTCTCTCTCTCTCTCTCTCTCTCTCTCTCTCTCTCTCTCTCTCTCTCTCTCTCTCTCTCTCTCTCTCTCTCTCTCTCTCTCTCTCTCTCTCTCTCTATATATATATATATATATATATATATATATATATATATATATATATATATATATATATATATATATATATATGGTTTAAAATTCCCTAAGAAAATTATGAGTTTTAATAAGTTTAATTTAGAGTGGGGACGACTCCTTTTTGTTCATCATTATTAAAACAAGTAAGTTTTCTTATAAAATCCGAAAACAAAATAAATCAAATATGAGTAGCTTATCCCACATATTATCCAAAAAATATATTCCTGATAAAATTATTAATGAAGAACCAGACTATAATAATAATCAGTTAAATTCTATCGAAGAAATTATTGATGGTATAGAATAAAGTTTAAATGATTGAACAATACCAAAATATATAAAATAGAAACTTTCGATTATTTTCAAAGTTAGACAATTAAAATAACTGAAAAAACTGTATCTATTGGTCAAAACCACTAAATTTTAAATCTATTATTATATAGATATATTTTGGAATATAGACAAAAATATAAATTTCTTCGTTACAAATTGCTATTAAACATTTATTTATAATTCGTATTGATGTTCTTGTTCTCATAAATTCAAGAGATAAATGGCATAATGATTTTCAAAATTCTATTTTAGCTATGACAAAAACAAATATTGCTAATGGGCCAAGTTATATTAACTGTTATCCAAACTTTTCTGTAGGATTATTCGATAAAAATATTTTAGATACTTTAGTTTTAACAGTAGAAACAAAAAATTAGAATTTAAAGATAATACATAACATTTAACTATAATCTATCATGTTTGTTATAAAACCATGAAAACCACGTTAGAATCAAGAACCCGTCTATAAAACCCAAGAAATGAAACAATTATTTTCGAAGCAAATACTAACCATACTAAGGTTCATATGCCTAAAATGCTTAAATGGCCGGAAATTACTCAAACATGTAATTGGAATTTATAAAACGTTATTGAACCAAAGACTTTAGATTATTCAAAACAATATTTTAATCTTATCGAACATAATGATGTATCAGTTGATATTAATTTTTCTTCTATAAACTTTATATCATCACGATTTTCAACAAGTTCGATTCTAGAAGTTAGCACCTCAAAATCTTCATTTTCAAAATTAGGATCTTTAAAACTAAAGGCTATTGATGATACTAATTCAATTTCTAAACCACTTTATCGAGACAAACAAAATAGCGAAACTAGTTTACCTAGTCCTACTAATCTGAATTTATAGACGACCTTTAAAATTTTAAACAACAAATATGAGTAATAAAACTCAAATATATTATAATTCCGATAACAATTTTAATATTGATTTACTCTAAAAAAATTTAGCAAGACTTAAGCACTTCACCAAAACATTTAAAAGAAAAGCAATTATGAGTACAAGAATTAATATCTAAAGGTCAAAATGATACTGCAATTCAATTAATCAAAATAGGAACTAGGAAGACTAACTATTGAGATTGGTCATTTTAAAAAGTTTATAAAACGTATCAGTTATTAAATTAACCACATTACTGACAGTTTATTAATTTGCTAAATGAGTTCTAAAATAAAGATTAATTATTCTAAAAATAACCGGCTTTGGATTAACATAATAAAAGTGTTTACGCACGCATTATATATTCTATACATACATACATACATACACACGCATATATATATATATATATATATATATATATATATATATATATATATATATATATATATATATAAGGATGACTGCAATAAACAAACTCTAGTAAGAAGCTAGAGACAAACAAGAATATTCCACTGAATCGGTTACATGAAATGGAGAATTAATCTATTTAATCCAACTAAATCTACAATAACTCTTTCTATTGGGAACCAAATACAAAAAGACTTAGTCACCACCTCCTTGAACAGATTAGAGGATTTAGGAGTATGGTCCGTAAAAACCAAAATGTCCCTATACATTGAATGGACCAATATTAGGCTTCGAGAACAACATAAAATCTTTTGTAGAAGTGAAACACCCCTAGAAAACTCCTTAATTCGGACAAGTTGAAATAGATGTTGGAGCAGGCACTTCCACCAGGCAACAACCTTATGATACATTGTTTGGCAACATTGCACACACCAGAAAGATGTTGACTGGATTCCAAAAGGCATGAAATACAATAAACTAAACAAACTAGAGGTCAATAACTTAGTGGTCTCCACTAAGACGATTTGGAAGCCCTTTCAAATTGATACGCCATCGTAGGATGTTAGTTTTGACAGGCGACCAATTATTCCAACAGGTGGAGAAATTGGAATAAAGCATGTCAAAATTGTCGAAATTAGTTGTACATGATTTAAATGTATAATTTCTAGACCTATCAAGAGACCACTTCCATCTATCTATATGTGGCGAAGGAATGACACCTTTAATAACATTAATCGGGAACATAACCATTTCCCAAAAGCTCTAGTCTAGTTCCCATTACAGACATGATTTGTCAACCATAGAACAAAGGTGATCATGTTTGATGAAAACATGTGAGGAAATATGATTTTGAAGGTGTATTGGCCAACCCATTTGTCCACCCATAGGTACATGTTGTGGCTATAAATTCTTTTTCTATTAATCACCGAGTCCAAGTGACACTGAAATCACTTAAGTTATCTAACGAGGACTTGATTCCTTTCCATGTAGAGTTGTACCTAGTAAAATTAGGGGACGAGAAACCTTTATTGGAGCTATAAATTGCATTCATAATCTTGATAGAAGCGGTGTATTTTTCACACAAATTTTTTTGTATCCATTTGTAAAGAAGTGCTCGATTAGCCCCAAAACAATTCAAACTTCCAAACCCCCTTTGGAACGAACGGAGAGACCTTTACCGACATAAAATTTCTTTTAGTTCCCATCTACACCCAAAAGAAATATGTACGATAACTTTCACCTTGATGCTTTTGGGAGCTTTAAATGAAGAGAAATAATAACTCGCAAGCGATTGTAGGACGAACTTAATAAGCATCATCTTACAATCATATTTAGAAAGGAATTTCAAGGTAAATACACAAAAGAGTATCTAGTTGGAGTCGGATATATCATTCCAAACTTTGAACAACAAGAAAGGAAACACCAACACTAAATAACTTAATTTTATTGGGATTTATATAAAGCTTGGAAGCTAGATAGAAACACATTAAGATAAAATTTATATTTTTAGTGTTTTCACTATCCTAATATCTATGAACATAGCATCCTCCACATGTAATATTTGATACACTTTGTACCCATAAAATCTCACTCTAAACCCCTTAATGATTCTTTTGTATATAGCATACGTGATGGCTACATGAAGGCCTTCCATAACCAAAGTAAAGATAAACATGGATATGAGATCGCCTCAGAGAAGACCTTTTTTAATTTGAATTCGTCGATCGGGGAGTCATTGAAATGAAATTAAGTTATGGAAGACGAGAGAAGAGCACTAAAGTCATGAGTCCCCTCCTTGAGAATAAGTGGGAAGTAGTTATATAAGAATCTAGGAAAGGCCATAACTGAAAACAAGCACTAGTTCTAATTAAATGAAGGGGAGACAAAAATATGATCTAAGCTTACTCAACTTGGACCCTACCTTATTAGTCTAAGTGAAGGAATAACCGCCCATCGAGAGGTCGGCAAGATTATATCAAGGATAAAAAAAATTAACAGAGAAGCACCTCTTTAGCAAAACTTATACCAACTTCTTTCTGATGAGGTACACACTTTGCTAAGGTCAGAGAAAGCGCAAACAATTTGAAATAAGAGAGAAAAATGTGGATATATGACAATATACCACTTTCCTAACCAAATTCTAAGGCATGTATACATTAATGAAACATACCAAAGAATTATAAGCAACGAGAACACTGAAAGATCCATATAGTTTTACTTGGTTCTAATAGAAGTTCCCTAATAGATATTAGAATCCCCTAACGACATCAAACCACCATAATTAATGGAGGCTAGGAAAAGCAAATTCAAAATTAAATTTTCATTATGGAGAAAGAATGTAAGAGTAAGATAAGATGGTTTGTTTATTTTCGTGAATGCGTAAAAACATAATTCTAGTGACTAAACCAGCATTGATTATTTAAGAGATAAGAAATTTATTGGTTAAGGTCTACAACTATTATACCTCCATAAGTGTTGGAAACCTATTGATCCAATCATTTTTAGTTAATTCTAGTGCCTAAACCAACATTAATTATTTTAGATTGTTCCTCCAATGAATCCAATATGTCACCAGATGACAGATAAAAAGGGTTTTCAAGAATCCTTTGGTTACATTTTATGGTAACTATAGTTTCAGGACATTCTAGATGTAGTTGAACTTAGGAACCTTTGCCATCCAATTGTAACTTACCATTCCCAATCCAAGGGAGAAGTTTGTCTTTCTTGACTGCCAAACCTAAACCAATGAAATTAACGATTACACTACTCCGTTTAACCTTACAAGAGCACCAATGTGGATCTTGATAGAACCATATGAAGTGGGAGCCTTAAATTGGGGATTAAGAGAATGAAGGTCTCATTTGGATCAATCGGATGACAAAGGAGGGGGGGTGGTTGTTTATTATCTTCATTGGTCCTACCAATTAGGATAATGGCATCAACAAAGTCCCCAAAGTTAATTACGCTTAGGCCCACTTGAAACCCATTAAATGGTACCATAGGCCTACGAGAAATAATGGAGGGTAATTTGTTTCCATTTTACAACAAACCTAAATTAATCAGTCTAAAAACAACATGAGACCTATTATCTACGTAAAACCTACCCACGTGTTGCAAGTAAATGCGAGTCACAATGTCATCGGTTTTCCTGGAGACATTCCTAACGTTGTATACAAAGAGTACATACCCTTTTTGTCTCCATATGTTTGTAAACAACCATGAAAACGGGGATATTAACTTATAACAATCCTAAAATTATTCTTTCATAGGTATGAAATTAACAATCCAAGGATATGTCACATCACACTCAACATTTATCATATTATGTTGAGCACTAGAAGACGTCGACGTACAAACTCTGGTACAAAAAATCCTTAACAAACAAATTCAAAGACTAAATTGGTAAATATGGATTGTATTTTTCCATAATAATAGTACCAAATAAATGTTATTTATATAGGATATACAAACACTAATTTTTCCATCTACCCACCTATGTGAATAAACAATACCTTATATTGATGAATCCTCTTTAACATCGGATTTTTCTAAATTTCATCTCTATTTTCATATGAAACATTTTTATGCTTGTTTTTTATTTCCTTTCTTGTTTTCACATTAATCAATACTTCTTTATTGTACCCTTTTCAAATCAAAAGGGACTTCAACATTTATGATAATGATTAATGACTTGATGTTTGCTTCTCTATGGTCTAGGAATCGAAATGCTTTGAAGAAAACTACCTTCCTCCCTTCTCTACTCATGAAGTCAAGGATGATAAGAAGGAAACAGATACTTGCAAAGATGAAAACTTTGATTTGGATGTATTTCATATTTCATTCTCTGGTCAAGATAATCTCAATGCTCACTCGACATCAAATAATCTATGTACTAAAGATGTTGTAGGAGCCGCTAGAGATGCGAGTCTTGAAAATTTAGACGTGGGTAGTCCACTCGAATTCAATCTATCTGTAAGTTAGCTTCTTCTTCCTTTTCTTTGAAGTAGTAGGTAGTGTTTGCATTCAATTCATTTGTCTTCTGTTTCCATCCAACCAAACATCCACTTAGTATTATAACAATAATATGATAAGAAGATATTTATTTATCATTTGATCATTTTCTTTTTATGAGCAATCATTTTGAAACTTTTCACTAGTATTTTGTTTCTACCTTTTTGTGTTTGATCCGAAAATTAATGCAATTAATTTCACTAATGTGGATGCAGGAGTTGTATTTTCCATCCGAAGATAGTTTTTGTGATGGGTTAGATTGGTTATAGAGGATGAATAATTACTGGAATGATGCAGATAACATATTGAGGAATAAGTGTAAACATGCATGGAGCAATGCATGTACGTCCATACAAAAATGTGCAAGCTTCGGATAAACCTAATTTCTCATATGTTTTCACTATTTCCATGAATATCAGTTTAAATGTATGATGTTTCTAATGTAAATAGCTTTAAATCGAGAATAACCCTAAATCTCATTCTATCTTAGAAAGTAAATTATGGTTATTTGTGTTTTCATTTAGAAGAGTTATGTAATTCATCTCCCCACAAAAAAGTAATAATAAATAAACAAGAAAAATCGATAGTAACAACACATTTAAACCTTAATAAATAAGAAATCAAACCAACAAAACTTACATTGAAGTCCTCAATATTAGATTAATTCTATATCGAAATACACATAACATATAACATATTTCCAGCAAACAAATAAGCATATAACCAGTCAACAGATAAACGGGCAGATCTATAGATCACTACCGCATACTACATCCTATTTACCAGGATTTCGATCTAATAGATCACTATAACATATCAACATATGGGACGGCATTCGTGCCTTCTACCTATAAGTATAGTGAGGAAAACTCACATCTCAGTCTGAAATGATGGCTAAACAGGACGTAGCTGCGAATATCAGCTCAACTGGTCACCTATACACCAAATAATAACCAATCTCAAATACTACTTGAAATACCAAAAATACCCAAAATTCCCTTAGGTCAAGTTTTGGTCAAAGTCAAGCTTAGTCAATATAGCTGAGTATATTGGGTGTACCCATCCAGTACGCGAGGCGTACTCAGCCTTTGACCAAAATCATGAAGTCGACCTTGTACGCTTAACGTACCAATCCGTATGCCCACCGTACGTAGCCCTCCCTTAATCCTTCTATTAATATCTTATTACTTTAATCTCTTCCACCCTATTCTCAAATCTAACCCTAAACTAATCTCATTTTCCATAAAGTTTCCAACTTTATGGTGTTGCATGGCTAACAAGTGTCCAAAAGCTTAAAATCCAACTTATTAACTCATTACGACACCTCAACACTTGCATGGAGTGTCAAAGATCACATTTTTATCACTTAAACTACCCTAAAATGTCCAAAAGGAGAAATCACATGGTCTACGGTAGCTCATACCTAAAAGGACCAAGAATATGGGGATAATAAGCATAAACTTCAAACATAAGCAAGATCTGGAGATATGATCATCAAGTTCAGAACTTTATACCTCAAAATGAAGCTTGGAGGTGTGATGTTTATAGATCTATGTGACATTGATCTTCCAAGTTGGTGCTTCAATCTTCTCTTTGCTTCAAATACACTACAAACACACCCTTTCAAGCTCAAAGGAACATATACAATAAATTAGGGTTAAAATCGATGAAGTTAGGGTTGGAGGCTGGTGATGGAATGATCATTGGTGATTTAATGATGCTTATATTGGGTCCAAACCCTAAAAGTTAGGGTTTGAGGTTCCAGTACGTACACCCAGCGTACCAATCTATACGCCCAATGTACTAGAGCTTCGCCTATAATTTACAAAAATGCAAATATGGGCTATTTTGCAACATTCTACATACATAAGGGAAAGATCTTTAAGAATGTTGTTTCGGGTCTAGATCTTTAAGAATGATATTTTGCAATATTTTTCATACTTAGGGTTAAAATTTGGAATTACCTCAACGTAAGGATGTTACGACTTATAATGATGTTTTGGTTATAGATCTAAAATTAGATGAAAGATCTTTAAGAAATAAAGCACTTAATGAGAGGAAAGGGATCCATGCGGGGTATGTCGAGCGTACCAAATGGTACGATGCGCATACTAGGCTGATGCCCTAATGATGTTTTGGAAATTCCGATCCTAGTGGTGGAAAGCAGCAACCAACCCCTGTGTACGCAGCCACCCAAGAACCTCAGTCAACTCCACTAAAGAGAAAACTCAAGATCGAGGAGGGAAGTACTCGGCTCAAGGACCTTCCGAAGGGCAACGATCTGAGACAGTCAATATCCATGCCAGCCCTCCCATCCTGACCTTCAGAAGACCATACCTAGGAAACCTTCCCCACTGCAGTAAGTGTAGCTACCATCATCATGGTATATGTCGGGAACTCTACTGTTTTAGGTGCCACATGAAGGGGCATACTACTAGCGTCTGCAGAACCCTGGTTGAGTTTATTACATCAACCACCAATGTGGCGACCAATACAACTTGTCACCTATGTGGTGAGATTGGACACTTCAAGAAGGACTATACAACTGAAGGAAACGACAAGGACACAGAAGGAGTCTGACTCTACCTGCTTAGGGAGAAGCATCAAGGAACCCGGTAGATTTTGGTACGTCTCTCAATCTCAGATAACTAACCGAAAACATTAAAAGGCTAATTCTAAATGTAAATACTTCCCTATTAAGGTGAAAGTCGCAGCACTGTTATAAAATTTAAAATGTCATCAGGTAAAACTATAATGGCTAAATATATACGTTACGCCCATGTATAATTGAGATGGATAGACCTAGAGTGAGTGAATGCCACCTCATTTCCTGTGCCTCGTTTGGTTGTGGATTTAAGGCGGAGTCGTTCAGTCAACAGTCCTCCCCACCCTAATTATACATGACTAGTATATGTTTGGCGATTATAGATATAACTCGTGAGAATCCATTCATGAAAAGGTACTCTACTCAGAAACACTCAGGACCCTCTATAGTTCCGCGTTGACTCTATCGGTCCAAGTATCCACGACAGTGATACATGGGACGAAACCCGAGACGCCTGGGACTTGTGTGCCCCTTCAGCACATGACCCTATCGACTCTCATTCTATATCATGCCGGAGTATGCCAACTTCTACGCCTCTATCCATCATGGTTTGACATCGTGCAACCATGTGTAAATCCTTAGTGTTGGGTAAAAAGAATTTTTACCGTAGCCATTTCGGCATAAAGGTTCTTTCGAATCTAAACATAACAAAAATAATGAAAACCAAGTATGATACTGTAAATGGTTTTCTAAAAACATCTTTACTTGTTTCAAAGCTTTTCTCAAATTGACTCTCGTGTTGTATGTTTTATTTCATATTTAGTTACAGCAGTATTTTAAATAAAGAATTTCTTTACCTATAATGCTTTATCAAAGCTTCATTTAAAATTTGTTTATGAAAGGATTTCTAAAGGTTTTCAACTTATTCCACAAAAGAATACCGGGTTGTGATTTTCTTAAATGTTATGGTTTTCCAAAGTTCCATCAAAGTTTTCGTCCACGTGTTTATACTCCTACTTTGTTAGATAATACTGCTTCGTTATACTTCTACCTAATTAATGATCCTACTTAGTTAAACACTACTGCTTTGTTAACGCTTTTACTTCATGATACACTTTTACTTCGTAACACGCTTCTACTTATTTACGCTTCTACTTCACGATACGTTTCCACTCATTAACACTCCTACTTTATTAATGCTACTACTTCACGAACCACTCCTACTTTATTAATGCTACTACTTCACGAACCACTCCTACTTTATTAATGCTACTGCTTCGTAAAAGCTTATACCTTATTAGCACTTCTACTTTGAGAAACACTTCTACTTCATGAAATACTTCTACTTGGTTAATGCTTCTACTTAGTTAAATGTATGCATGTGCTTGTATAGTTATATAAATAATGTTTAAAGGACTTAGGAAGGCTAGTTCGCCCTATTTCCTTTTCTTCGTTGAGATGTGGTCTGGTGGGATCGGATATCCGTCCGAAGGTCGTTTGATCATTAGTTATACATCATGTATACAAGCATAGACATATAGGATTACATCGATCAGTTCACTTCCCTTGGGTAGTAAGGACATCCTCCCAATCGTCACTCATAGATCAGAGACACTAGTAACTATTATAGGAATAGATAAGGGACTCTATCTCTCACCCTATCTCTCATACTATCTCTCTCTCTATCTCTCTCTTACTTCAGAATGTGACACACTATTTCCCACTACGGCGCTTCATTGCACCAACGCCCTGTAACCAGAGTCTCCGGGAAGGAGAGCGAACATCATGTGTATAGATCTATATGAGACTGACACTCCTACACCCTGAATACTAGCTACAGTCCGCACCGGTAAGGCCCATGGGTGACATGAAGCCACTACTACTACTGCCACTACTACTGCCACTACCTCTACGCATGACCTGGAGGGTACAAGCCTATCACATGGTACTTTAATTTACAATTGGTTTAAGGTAGTTAGTACAATAGTAGTTACTTATTACAATACTACAATATTATAATATTTTTCTCATTACATTCACTTCGTGAACATTCATACGATGCACGGTAATGTAAAAACTATATTTTTGGTTAATGATAGTCAGATTTGGGAAAATACACACTCTTACAAGAGTCACACACAGATACTAGATGCCTTGGTAGAAGGCTACTGTTAGTAGGAAATATAGGGTTTTCTAGGAGGTTCAAAACTTTTACATACTTACACTTCACATACTTTCAACTACTTTCTTACAAATACAGACACTAAAATACTTTTGATCTCACCAGCTTTAAAGCTGATACTCTCTTTCAAAATAACTTGTATCCTCAGGTCAACAGTAGACAAGTACCGATGCAATGTTTAGAGAAGATGGAGCTCGTTCAAGACTCATCTTTCATTTTGATTTATATTTTAGTGTCTATTAAACATGTTAGAACACTTGTATTAAAATTATATTATTAATGCAATGGATGATGTTGTTGCTTGTTTACTACTATTTATTGTTGTGATACTGTACATGACGTCCTCCGCCCCAGAACGTTTCCGTCATTCTCAGATTTGGGGTGTGACACTTCGGGTGCCAAATGTCATTTATTTTGACGACTTTATAGTCGATAGTATGGTACAATTAATCACATAATACCTTGATATAAATCCGGTTTAAGGTAGTTAGTACAGCAGTAGTTACTATAATACAACGCTACAATACTACATTAATTTACCCTTTACAACACTACATACATAACAGTTGTGCCTTGGTAGAAGACTACTTTTTAGTAGAAAATATAGGATTTTCTAGGAGTTACAAACTTTTACAAACACTTACAAACATTCACATACTTTTACTACAAACGTTTACAAACTCGTACTTCAAACACTGTTTCAAACATTTTGATACAATCATAGATACTAAATACTTATGAACTCTTCAGCTTTAATGCTGATAAACTCTTTCAAAATAACTTGTATTCTCAGGTCATCAGTAGACAGGTACCGATGCCAACTTTTGAGAAGATGGAGCGCATACAAGACTCATCTTTTATTTTGATTCATATCTTGGTGTCTCATAAACTATAGAACACACTTGTATTAAAATTATATATTTAATTCAATGGATGATGTTGTTTACTTGTTTACTATTATAATGTGTTGTGATACTATACATGACGTCATCTGCCCCAGAACGTTTCCGCCGTTCTTAGTTTTGGGGTGTGACAATGCTTGGCAGGTTCGTATAATCATATTTTAGCAACGACTTCAAATAATTTTCTTTTTCATTTTTTTTTGTCAACTACAATGATTTTACATCCCAATTTAATTCTATTTGGTATAAACATATGATTTTTGATTATGGATTCAGAAATTGATGTATGTGTGGTCGGTGATTACTATGATTTGCAGATGATATGAAGATCGATCCTTATGATAAAGATGAACATACTGGTTATTTGAGATATGTTCTGGACTATTTAAAAATATCTCCGAAGTCAAAATTGAAATAATTGTTTGTAAATTTACAGACAGAGTACAAGCTTTTATAGTTTGGAGCTCACATAGTGAAACTTCAGCAAGTTTTGAAAAGTTAAACAACTTAGCTAATGTAACAACTTTTAACCTGTCTCTCCTGTAAATATTGTAATGTCAACTTAAAGTCTCCATGAAATTAGCAAACCTTCAAGGAAAAAGATGAAAAAAAAATCCCTTAGATTTTAGATTTCACTTTTCTGTGTGTTACTATATGTTTGTTTGACTGATTGTTTGAGACTTTTGATTATTTGTATGTGATCTTGTCTATGCATTATGTGTGTTATTATGTGTTTGTTCGAATCACTAATTTTTGATAAAAAAAAAATCTTTGATGAAGTTTTAGTGTAAATAGATTTATTGAGAGGGCAAATATACATTTTTCACACCAAAAGACAATTTCTATTTAGAGCAACTCAGCAGGTAGGAAGCGGACCCAAGGGTAAAATGATCATATAATGAAAAATGAAGCAAGGACAAACCCAATATGTCTAAAAGAAGTGTATAAACTCATCAACTTTAAATAACTTCTATTAAATTTGAGACTCACTTTATTTTCTTCATTTTGATATGAGTGGAGTCTAAGTGTGTATATGACAGGGACAACGGTCTAATAAGGGGGGAAGAGACAAAGTTTAATATGGGTTTGTAATTTTGTATACAAAGTAAAACATTTTTTACAAAATTTAGTGTGTGTTTGTATACTTAATTTATGTGAAATGTCCATGTGATATTAGTCTATTCTATATAAATTAGTAGTTAAACCAGGTCCTTCAACAATTTTTAGAATGTTGATACACTCAAATAATTTATGGATCATGCATTAAAATATCACCACACAACAACTTACCAACCTAAACCTAATCACATATTAATCATTTTAGTTCATCAATTTCATATTTTACTCACTGACACAAGTTGATTAACATATTCCATAGTTTATGTTTTCATAATGAAAACATATATGACAGTAATTTGTAATTTAATGTCATGTGTTTAGGTAAGTTTATTTATATTTTTGTAAAGGATATATGCGTCATTTAACCAACGATTGACACCAAGGCACTTTAGGGGGCCGAAGCAGCTAAAACCCTGGATGAAAAACCCCAAAATTGAAAATTCATCAAAAATTGATGCTGTAAGCCAAATCATAGAATCAGCCATGGAAACGAAACTATAGCAAGCTCACATCTTCCACAACAATCAGTTCCTTATTCTTCTTCTCCGTCCAATGTTTGCTACAAAAAACCTTCAAAAGCGCTGTTTTCAAACAATCACCTCCCGTATCATCACCAATTGCTCCAGGTACGTATATGCGTATAACTCTCTTCACATCTAATGACTTTAATCGAACCAAATATGATTTAATTGATTGATTCTCTATGTTTCAGGGATGTGAAGTTGTTAAGAGGTGCGAGTTTCCCCAATATTACGCCAAGGTATGCTATCGATTCTAGTTTTGTGATTAGAGACGAGACATTTCTGAGCTCAATCAGCTCGCGCAATTGCTTCGATGGATATCGGAGGTATTCTACTTCTAAAGGTCGGAGTATGAGGAGTAAAGTGGAGATGCGAATGAAGAAAGAGTCTGGTAAAACCCTAAGGGAGATCAGGCGAGCTAAGAAGATACAGAAGAAGCTGATGACGGATGAAGAACGCCTCATTTACAACCTCAAAAGAGTACGTTTCCATCTTCCGATCTCCACCACACTAGTCAATTACAAAATACATCAATCAAACCTTCAATCGCTGCATTCAGAGCTTCTTTTTTTCAACCTAGAAGTTTTGTCTCTATTTTTCAGGCCAAGAAAAAAGTAGCGTTGCTTCTCCAAAAACTGAAGAAATACGAGCTCCCTGAGTTGCCACCTCCACGACATGATCCTGAGCTATTGACACCTGAACAAGTTCAGGCATTGAAGAAGATTGGTTTCAGAAACAGGAATTATGTTCCAGTTGGTGTTCGTGGAGTGTTTGGAGGTGTGGTTCAAAACATGCATATGCATTGGAAGTTCCATGAAACTGTTCAAGTTTGCTGTGATAATTTCCCCAAAGAAAAGATCAAGGAAATGGCAACCATGCTTGCAAGATTAAGTGGTGGCATTGTAGTGAATATACATAACGTGAAAACAATCATCATGTTTCGTGGAAGAAATTACAGACAACCCAAGAATTTGATACCTATCAACACCCTTACAAAAAGAAAGGTTTGACTTTACTCTGTTTGACTTATCTCAGTTTACAGTGTCTCAAGACTCTAAAGTCACCTACTTCTGCTTCTGCTTGTGATTTTTGATTATTTTACTTTGATATCACACACAGGCATTATTCAAAGCAAGATTTGAACAAGCTCTTGATTCTCAAAAACTAAACATAAAGAAAATCGAACAACAACTTAGAAGAATGAATGTAAACCCAGATGATCCAATTGCAATGGCTAGCATACAAAGAGTTGCATCAACGTTTTTCAATGCTATTGACAAAAGAGAAGGAAGCCCATATGTGTTCCATGGTGATAATAATAAAGCTAAAGAATTAAATGGTTTAATGATTAAAGAATCAGAATCTGGTGAAGAAGATAGTGATCAAGAGGAGCTTGATAAGTTTATAGCAGAGATAGAAGATGCAGCTGATAAAGAGTGGGAAGAAGAGGAAGCTGCTGAGAAAGAAGAAGTGAATAGGATTAGGTATTTGTATAGAGAAGATTATGATGGGAGGTATACGAAGCCTGATATGGGTAGAAAGGCCCCACAGAGGGGTGGGGATAGCGAGAATGATGAAGATGATGAAAATGACGAAAATGCCCCTGGTTATGTGTATGGTGCTCCGAAGGTGGAGAGATGGAAAGAGGGTAGAAATGGGAAGTTTGGTAATCGTGGGAGGTTTAAGGGAAGAGATGAAGGTAGTGGTAGTGAGGATGATGAGGTTGATGAAAATGACGAAAATGCCCCTGGGTATGTGTATGATGTTCCGAAGGTGGAGAGGTGGAAGGGGGGTAGAAATGGGAAGTTTGGTAATGCAGGGAGATTTAAGGGAAGAGATGAAGGTAGTGGTAGTGGTAGTGGTAGTGAGGTTGATGAAAATGACGAAAATGCCCTTGGTTCGGAAGATATGTTGGATGAATTGGAAAGTGTTATGTTTGAATCTGATGAAGAAAATGGGAATAAGGTGAATAATGAATCGAAATTATTTTCAAAATCAGAAAGCAAGGTGAAAACAGCAAAAAATATGGATGAAGATTGGGATAGTGATTAAGTTTTGATGAATTATTTATGTTATGTTTTTTACTTTGAATGATTATTTTTATTATATCTGGTTTTATTTATTATTGAATTTCGTGTTATTCTTGAAATATTATCTGTGAAACCTTGGGTTTGTTGATTAGCTCACTTGCAAAAGTTGGTGTTATTTGTATTCTTAAGTGTCACCATTGGATTTACTTCATGGGTTAATTAAAGACAAAACTACAAATTTGGTCTTTGTGATTTGCAAAAAGCTTTGGATGGGGTCTAAAAAGTTTCAAATTTGCATAGAAGGTCCAAAATCGAAAGTTTTTGGTGAATTTGGTCCCAAAATCAGGAATTTTCGGTGAAT